CCGAGAAGAGTCTCGACGCATGTCTTCCTTGTGCCCTGAGAGATGGTGGGACCAGTCGAGCAGTGCTAGAGGACCGGAGGGAGCGTGGTGCTACGCGAGGTGTGATAAGAGCTTTGAGATAAGTGGGTGCTGGTCCGTTTTTGGCTTTGTAGGCGAGCATCAGTGTTTTAAATCTGATGCGGGCAGCTACAGGAAGCCATTGGAGGGAGCGCAGCAGTGGGGTGGTGTGCGAAAATTTAGGGAGGTTGAAAACCAATCGTGCAGCTGCATTTTGAATCAGTTGCAGAGGACGAATGGCACTCAGAGGTAGACCTGCCAGGAGTGAGTTGCAGTAGTCTAGTCTCGAAATGACAAGGGACTGGACAAGCATCTGTGTAGCCTGTGTGGAGAGAAATGGACGAATTCTTCTGATGTTATAGAGGAGAAAGCGACATGAGCGTGTTAGATTAGCAATGTGAGAGGAGAAGGACAGTTGATTGTCCATGGATACCCCAAGGTTGCGTGCAGTAACTGAAGGCGAGATCAGAGAATAATAAAGAAAGAATGTCAGAGGTGACGGAGAGAGGAAGCCAAAGAATGTTCTTAACCGTTATTAGACAAAACAGAACTAAACTGCAGAACTGAACACACTATCATCCGACATCTATAGTGTAGTCGTAGCATTGACGATATTTGACCCCTCATTAGGGAGATAAACTTTTGGTCATAAACATAGTGAATGTAAATAAAATACAAAATACATACAAATTCACTGAAAGGGAAGGGACACAGTACGTGAAAGCATTTGTTTCTAATAGTGGTTCTTTTTCTATTTTTACACAAATTGATCTAGGTGAACTTTGACCTGTGAATTCAGAAATCTCAGTCTTGTGAACCTATAGAAAACATATAGTCTTTTGGATGAGAAAAAAAAATGGCAGAGCATCTAATTATTATTAAGTACACTTTTGACTAGCTATTTTTATTTAATTTTTTTTACTTTTGCTTAGCTTACATCTGCGGACAAAACAAACACCTTAGCTAGCTAATGTTACCTTGACATTCTCACTAAAACTACACCCATTATGTGATCTGGCTAGATCTGAAGCTGAAGGGTTAATACGAAAAATCTGGAAAGTTGTTCAATAATAAAAGCGCATACGATGTATTTAACCAATACATGTTTTTATCACCTATGCCGATAGCATGTAACGTCCTGTCCATGTTTTTGCAGTAAAATAGTTGTTTCTCTCTGCCTGCTGGAATTTTTGTGTTAGCAATGTTGCCACCTCTGACCCTGTACATGATCCCCCTTACACAGTTTTCAGTGAACCAGAACACTTCTTGATCTCCTGCGGCCCCTGCAGGCTGTTGACTGAGTGCCAGCAGAGAGATAAAGACTTCGACAAGAACTAAATGGTCTACTAAATGGTCTCTGAGACAAAAAGACGAAGGCAATCACAGTCTTACGTGCGTCAGAATCTCAGGAAACACTCATGGATACTCCACTGAAACTAATCACCGGCAGTGGAAATCAAGAGAACATCACTATTAGGCAGTCCAAACTTGAAGCAATCAGACAGAAAATCAGAGTTTCTTTTTATTCAGAGGCAGTAAGATGATGCTCAGGCTGTGATTCACACCCATCAGAAGTCCACATGTGCAGTCTGATACACAGAGCACATCTCAGCAGGCTGAGTGAACAAGAGATATTGCAGTTTTAAAGGAAAACTCCTTCCTCAAACACATTAAATATGTTTATATTCAATTTTTTTTATGATGTTTTTATTGATTCTGGTGCCAGTTTGTTAGTTGGTGCTGTATTTTCATTACTGCCATGAGATGATAGCAGTTCCACCCTGATGTCACAGGGGGACATAGTTATTGCAGTGTAGTTCAGTTACAATGCAGAAGAAGAAGAAACCTTTATTTGTCACATATACATTACAGCACAGTAATGTAATTCATGGTAATTGTTTTTTTTCCTCATATCCCAGCTGGTTAGGAAGTCAGTCATGATACGGCACCCCTGGAGCAGAGAGGGTTAAGGGCCTTGCTCAAGGGCCCAACTGTGACAGCTTGGCAGTGCTGGGGCTTGTACCTCCGACCTTCTGATCAGTAACCAAGAGCCTTAACCATTGAGCCACCACTGCCCTAAATGCCATTTAATAGCAGAAAAAATTTCAACAAACTCAAACTTTACAGATAATGAGCAGTTTCCATTATTAGCTCCTAAAACAAACAAGCAAGAGCTTTGCTTCTCACATCCCATTTTCCAGCGAAGTTCAACATTATATTAATTAAATCCAGTGTAGAAGTAATGGAGATGTTGGTGCAAACTTTGGACTCAAATTCCCAGAATGCAATGCAGCTATGCGATGAAATCGCGCTGAGTTTTTAGCATGAAAGTTGTACCTTTGCAAACTGATCTGTTTGAGCAGAGTGTACAGCTGAGGAGGTAAGAGAGCTGGACAGAATAAACGACTAAAGCTCTGCTGCATCACTCTCTTAATGGTAGAGATGAAGCTACCTCCACCACTGTCAGCAGGTATTCCAACTGCATTATATGAAACTGTTATCCAAAGTAAAAACAGCCCAACATGCTGATGAAAGAAGTTTAAACTCAAAACATAAACTCAGAATTTCATTAGAAAATCAATCTCGGGCACCAAGATCTTTATTAATCTTTATTAATCATAAAGATTAATATGCATGTCGTTCAGGATGGAGTTTCCTTTAAGGCCATCACACACAGGCTGCATAGCTGAAACTGAAATTTTTACTATACCAAAGTTCAATTTCTGCTTTTTTTTTTTTTTTTTCCAGAATACAAATGGTCACTTGAAAAGGGAGGTCATAATCACATGATCCTCAGTTAAGCATGCTAAGTTTCTTTGTAGTCAGTCTACATGCATTCAAATAAGAAAACACATTTAAATCTCTTCAAAAACATCCCTTCAAAAACTCTCAGGCAAAAACATCTCAGAGTTTAGGCTGCGTTGCTGATGATGTCTGCACTTGGCTCTTAAATAAGTAACAGGGTTGAATGTTTTGGCATAGAATTAGCAAATACGCAAAATGTGGTTTTTCATGCTAATGGCATTCTAATGACATTTTTAGTTAACGAATGACTTTTAATATATAATTCAGGCAACGGTTGTACTTTTAAAGTCATCTCATCAGTCAATATTGCAATATCATTGAAAAAAAAAACAGAATGAGGGAATGTATTTTTCTTCTTCCCACGATCTTCAGGAAATTTGGATCATGTTGAACATGTTGACGTGTGGAACATTCCAAATATTACATAGGGGTGAGCAGTTTTGAGTGAATGTGTAAATGTAAAATGCACATTAAATTAAGCAAATGAGCGCAGAATAAGTTTTTGAGTAAAGGAAGGAGAATTGCATCCCATAGCACCACAGAAAATGGCTTCCATAGAAAGGGATGGAATCCTGATGGTTGTTTTAATAATTTATATCAAAATGAGCTGCAATTTCAGTAAACGAATAAGCAAGAACAGATTTCAAGCTTCACTCCAGGGCATCTTGTATTAAATGATTGCTGGCAAAAATGAAGTTTGTGTCTGTAATGCTGAGAAAACACGCCTTAATGACAACAGATTTAACAGATTGCTTTCAGACAGTGCATTCTCTTTGTTCTCTGCCTCGAGTCCAATTCACAAGCAGTGCTGGGGAGGAACATAGATAAAACAATAAAGCCAGACAAACTGCAATCTTTGTGGCGAACCAAAGAGCCATAAAAGTCGGAGAAAGACCAATTTGACCCTTTTAATCTGTTCCATGTGTCTGATGGCCTTACAAAATGTGTATTATAGTGCTAGTTGATAGCATCTGGCGAGCCAAACAAGGTTTCATGTCCAGCCAGTGGGTGACATCTTCCACAGTGCTCATTTACTGTGTTTTCCAAGCTGATGAATGGATTCCCAACCAGAAAAGCTCGACATTATACCCAAATTGGTTTTGAATGGTTTCATTTATCATACTGAGAAGTGAGATCATGTGACTTTAATGGCATGCACATGAGCTCCATTCAGCTAACTATGTTACTTCTGATGGTAACTAATTCAGGGGTTTGAATCAATAATTATGCAGCCACATCTTTTACATTTATTTATTTATTCGTTTATTTATTATTTCCCCCCACTTCTATATTATGACCTCTTTTGTGTAGATTCATGACATATAATCCCAATTAAGTACATTTCAGTTGCAGGTTGTAACACTACAAAATGCAAATGTGGAAAAGTTCAAGGGGGGGAAGACTTACGTCAGGCACTGTATGCCTAATGGTTAGAGAGTCGGACTTGTAACCCGAGGGTCATGAGTTCGAGTCTCAGGCCGGCAGGGATTGTAGGTGGGGGGAGTGAATGACCAGCGCTCTCTTCCTCCCTCAATACCACGACTGAGGTGAGACCCTTGAGCAAGGCACCGAACCCCCAACTGCTCCCCGGGCCCAGAAGCAAAAAAGGCTGTGTGTTCACGGTGTGTGTGTGTGTGTGTGTGTGTGTGCACTTGGATTGGTTAAATGCAGAGCACAAATTCTGAGTATGGGTCACCATACTTGGCCACAAGTCACTTTCACTTCACTTATACATATCTTTGCTGTAAGGCAGCTGAAATTAGAAACCATCTGGAGATTATAAAGTGAAGAACCTACAGACTGACCAGAGCTAGTCCCTCGTTTGAGCGTCTTCATGGAGGTGAGGCTACTCTCACTCTGGCTATGATTCGATATCGATTCACTGAATTAAAGTGCTGAGTGATGTGCTGCCTCACCATCTGAGGAAAAACTTCGAGGAGCTGAAGGTCACTAAGACTGTAAAAGGCATGAACTTTCTGTCTGATGCTCACAGGAAGATTGTTGGAATAAAGGGCTGTTGTATAATCTTTAGGAGTGGTGGAATTTTATGATAAAAAAACAAATAAAATAGCAGTTTACCTTTCTTTAAAAGATGCCATGGCTGTGACACAGCATTTAACATTTTTTTTCTTTTGACACAGCATTTAACCTTTAAATTAAACAGTTTTATGATTAATATATTCATTGTTGTGGGAAGGAGAGAGTTGGTTGAGATAAAAGAACAAAATGTGTTTCAACAACGGTAGAAAAATGAGACAAATGAGAAAAAAATTATGAGGAAAAAAAAAAGAAAACACAGGAGGAGCTTCGAAAGTGGTTGAAACTTTGCTAGGTTAGAATGGCAGGTTTGTTCTCTTTCTCTTTGCTGCTGTCCTTTAGTGCATGATGTACAGTGTGTTGCATAAGTATTCACCCCCGTGACATTTTCCACATTTTGTGTTGTTACAACCCATGACTGTAATGGACTGGAATTGAGTAATAATATATATCAGGAATCAACATAAAATAACCCACAATATTTACGTCAGTGGAATGGGGGATCAATATAATTGGAAAAATTATTCATAAATAAAATAATAAAAGTGACTTCATAAGTAGTTACCCCATTGGTGTCAAATCCACTGCACCACCATATATTTTTCCTTTTTTTCCTTTTTTTTTTTTTTTTTTAAAGAAACACTCCTTCAGTGACACAATTAAATTACAACTACCAAAATACTCACACTGCCAAAAATATCAGGATCATCATTACAGCTATCATTGCTTAGAGGGTGTATGCACAGATGGTGGGAATGCCAATCCATTACAGAACCCTCATTCTGAATAATTACTCAGTAAAAGCACTTATTGTTCTCATTACTAAACACTGGGACAGAGGATGACAGTTTGGGACATCCAACATATCAGAATGACCAGTAGTCTTCTAGAGCTTGGATGCCTACCAAAATTGATAAAGCAGCTAGAAAGCCAAGGTCATTTTTCATCTTTCCACTGAGAAACAGAGACTTTTTGCATTAGTCTGCTAGAGGACATGGTAATTTAGAATGATTTAGCAGGATTTATACAGAAAATGTTCACCTTGATTTCTTTTGGGATTGGTTTGTGAAGGGCAGAATTCGTGGTACTTAGGTCTCAGATCTTCAACACGTCCCAATTCAAGTCATTTAGAAATAGAACACTGGATAGTGTATGGGTTTGCCAAAGAAACAGAAAAAGTCCAAACAAGTCCTCCAAAAGCTGTGGATTAAAATATTAGCTACTTTTCTACCAATAAATTCAATTAAAACAAACTATTCCCACTAATTTTTGGAGGTATTATTCTTATGCATTATACCTTGCCTAATGAAGAGACCTAAAAATCGTGCTAAACCTTTTTCCTCTGTTTTTTCCTCCTTTGATCGATTGTGGTTGAGAAATGATTTATGACTGTGAATTGAGAGCTGCACAACGCAGATTCAAAAGCTATTGCGAATTCATACTAATCCATTCAAACAGGAACCTTATAAAAATGTCTTCTCTGCTTCACTGGGTCAATAAGACGCTTCAGGTTCTCTAAATATAGTACCTGGAATTTAGAGCATGCACCTGCAGAAAACAGCCAGCTCAAAATACATTCTGTTTCTATTCTAATTCAATGTGTCATATAACGCTGGACTCCTGAACTATTTTTTTTTTATCCTAGCTGCTTTATTTATTTATTTATTTATTTATTTATTTTTCAATCTCCTTTTATCAAGCTGAGCAGGTTGAGAGTGTTCGTTGAACAGTTTCTCAGGAAACGAGTCCAGTCACATTGCAAAGTAAAGCATTACTGCACGAATGCTTTTTGGAAGTCTCTCAGGTGTAGTTGTCATCAGCAAAGTGTAAAACCTTCTAGTGTGTGAAGACAAGAACTTAATAAACAATATGTACAGCAATCTGGGAAAACCTGCTGGATGCCGGTGAATTCTGGCAAACAGACAAAATTGGCGAAAAAAAAAAGCGCCCTGGTTTTGAACAAAATCGTGTTTCTTGGCAGAAACAATAAATTTATTTTACAAAAATGACTGCCATGCTTTTATTTACTTCCTAAACTAAGCTTTCACTCTTTGATCCAGTTTAACAAACAAGGCTGTAAAAATAGTCACATCTGCCTAAAATCTGCCTAAAGATGCATTAGTAGCTAGTTTGCTAGCTAAGTGTGTTTCACAATGAATGTCACACTTTGATCAAGATGTTGGTTATGTGAATAGTGAGACAGATGTAAATTTCATTCAAAATTCATTTTTTTAAACAGTCAAAATACTGTTTAATACTATCTGTCAAATGATCTGTGATGGACACACACTGTCACTGATACTGTAGAGATGAAGCAGACAAAGATGTAAAGTTTGAATGATAATTTTTTTTTTTAGAAAAAAAGGAAATTTGGCAGGGGGCACAGTGGCTTACTGGCTAGCACCGTTGCCTCGCACCTTCAGGGCAGGTTTGAATCCCACCTCCGCCCTATGTGCATGGAGTTGCGTTGTAGGCTGCCTGGCATTCCCAAATTGTCCATAGTGTGTGAATGTGTGTGTGAGATGCGATGTGCCATGCGAAAGGTTGGCGCACTATCCAGGGTGTCCCCGCCTTGTGCCCCAAGTTCTCCCCCGTTACCCTGTGTAGGATACACTTTTATGGAGGATGCATGGATGGAAAATTTAGCCAAAATTAAGTGAAGTGGTGATGATTTATATCAGCAGTAATGTAATTGTGAAGAGTCAAGTCAAGTCAAGTCAAGTCAAGTCAAGTGCAATGATGAGACTCATGTTTGTCAAATGGAGAAGAGTCTAGAGAGAGTGATGTGGATTATACTTATTCTGGCATCAACAGGGAAGAAGCTTGTCCATAAAGCATCATTAAAACAACACACTTGCTCTTTTACTGACAAACACACACATACAACACAAACACGGCATTGGTATTTAGCCACAATAATTCCGGTATACAACGTTCCAGTAAAACACATACCAGCACAGACAAACACAAAAGAATCCTTCTCTAACAAATAAGACTAAATCTAACAAAGCAAAGACATTAAACAATAAAATAACGAGGACACCATGGGGGATCACTGGTATGCAAATTAACACACGTTTAAAGACGTGCAGTGGCGGTACGTTAGTTACTCCATCATAAACTTATAAAAGGAGTGATCATATTTCTTATTTATATATTTTGTTTATTACATGTTAATTGCATTGTTTATTACATGCTAAATGCGAATTAAATAAATATACAGCAGGAGTGTAATGCAATGCCACTATCTGTGCATATTTTTAGTGCTCCAAATATTCAAACCTGTACCTGTATTTGGAATTAAACTCAACGTAGGCATGGCCTAAACCCTTTTTTAAAAAAAAAAATTTATTTAAATATAAAGCCTACCACTATGCCCCCAGAAACTCATGGGGTGTGAATTCTGGCTCTGGCAGTTCCTCAACCTCAGCTACATCACTGCAGTTCATAATCGATCTCAACATGATCATAATCGATCTAGAGATGTGTGTGGGACTGTTATTTTTTTATTTTTATCCAGGTATTATTTTTGTTCGTACCTGGCGGTGATATTTTCTAACAAATTTAGTTGGTTCTGTTTCCTAAAATATAAACAACCTAGTAGCCTAATATAAACCACACCAACCCTGACCATGCAGTTACTATGGATGAATGAATGAACACTGTACTCTATGTTCATGTATGAAACACGCACATGCTCTTTTTCCTGCAAGTTTCACATCTGACCCCTTGCTCAGCTCCGACACACAAATCTATTTTTAAACAGATGCCCTGTGAACCTGGCAAGCTTTCTAAGAAAAAAAAACCCAATAAAACAATAGTGTGCCTCCTCGTAATGTGTTCAAATTTGGTTACATCTCTAATATATATTTGTTGCTTTTAGACAATCCATGCCTTAGCATCCTTTATTGAAGTTGGAATGAAATCTTTATGTGCAATTTTCTCCTTTTTCACTTTTAGGTGTAACCAGACTTTAAAATGCTTTACCTTTACTTCTGACTGAAGTGCATGCAAAAGGAATATATTTTTACCACGTGAATGATTTTCCCAGGCTAGCATGCATTTAGTTTGGATAGAGCTTTTTTTTTCAGTGTGTGAGCAGATGCTCATCAATAGATTTAGTGTCAGCACATCGTGGAGTAATTGCACGCCTTTATAAGCTCACCTGCTCAGTCTCAGGAGAGATTACCAAACCGAGTAAAGATAGAAACCAGTGCTTACGTAGACTGTTGCTGGGGTGATGACTGTGAGACTGATTTAAGAAATTAGAGCTTCTTAGACATAGCTGCAGAACAGTAGCGGAGTCTGCTATAACAACACCGAATACACATATTTCTGTGATATTCACCAAGTGTCACGTAGCAGAGGAAGATGTTTCTCTGGTTCTTCCTTTTTGAAGTGCTCAGAGCAAACACTAGCAGTACTGGATATCCAGCAACACTAC